AAAAAAAAAAAAAAAAAAAAAAAAAAAAAAAAAAAAGTAAAGAACTAGTGGCTAAAAGCTTCCAGATTTGGTGAAAGACATAAATGCACAAGTTCAAGAAGCTGAGCAGCCCTTAAAGGATAAACATTCCAAAGCTACACACCTAGGCATATCATGTTAAATTTGAAAACTAAAGAGAGAAAAAAAATATCAGCCAGCTTAATTTCCTAAGTAGAAAGGCCTTAGGTTCCTTCCCGAGTACCAGAATTCTGTGCAATAATTCTTGTAAAGGGGCAGCTCTTTGACAGTAACTACTCCAGAGCCTTGAGGCCAGAAAGGAGGGGGGCCTGCATCTCCAAGTGTGCAGAATGCTACCTGCGAGCTCTGTCCAACAAGATGTTCTTTAAGGGTGGAGGAAGAATCAAAGATGTATTTTGAAAAAGACAAACCAGTAGGACTTGTTGTTAGCAGACAACAGGTCTATAAGGAATGCCTAATGGAATCTCCCTAAATTGAAAGAAAACTACCAGGAGAAGGCTGGGGCTTTTAAACACTGAGGTAGTATGGCACGAAGAACAGAGGCAGAAGTCAACATAACTCTCTGCTACAGCTTGGGTACAGCTGAGTGTCTCCCATGTCTCAGGTGTTGAATGTAAACTCTGCTGTGAAGTTTCAAGAGGGTGGAAATTAAGCTGGGCATGGTGGTGCATACCTGTAATCCCAGTACTCTAGGAAGCTGAGGCAGGAACATCACAAGTTCAAGCCTAGCCTGGGCAGTTTGTTTGTTTGTTTTTATAATTTTCTTTTTTATATTTTTTATTGAGAAATAAATATGAATGAGACAGTTTCACAGCTGATTAATAGGACAGTTTTGATAGTCAATACACTGCACATTGTTATCTTCTTAGCAGTTATCCATAGTACAAGAAGCAGACAGGATATTCTGTCCAAGCACTGTTAGTACACCTCTTTCTTCTCATTGAATTAAGCGAAAGTAGCTGTAAATTTATCCTATTTTGTATATATAAATACAAAATGATCTTTCTTTTGTATCCTTTTATTTTTTGTCCTGTCAGAGGTGAATAATCTATTGGCATCCAAATACTATAGGTGTTTGAATTCAACTAAACAATCTAACACTGTCTAGCAGTCTATAATATTAGTGGGTTATCTTCAGAAGTTATTGACTTGAGCCTTTTACAGCTCATCGTATTAATATGGATTTACTTTATATACCTCATTTTTATACTTTTGTGCTGGATGGTTAAGACCAAGATATAGCAAGACCTATTTACCAAGAAATGTAACTTTTGTATCTGATAAGGTCAGCCAAATACTCTCAGGATTTATCCTGTAGCCCTGTACCACCTTTTGTACATTCTTTTGTCAGTGTCTGACACGAGGATGAGTCACGGCCATTGCTTGACCAATTTGCTCTCTGTGAAAGCTTGAGAAAATGTTTTTTTCTCTCCATGTGACTCTCCCCATAGCCTGGGCAATTTGGTAACTTAGACCCCTTCTGAAATTCTTTAAAAAATAAACAGAAAAGGACTAGGGATGTGGCTTAATGGAAAGGCCTTAGATTCCATCCCCAGTACCAAAAAAAGGGTAGAAATTCAATCGGTGGGGTCTGGGTAACTAGGAGTTGATAAGGTAACCAATGTGGAGCCCCATGACTGAGTCCTGGTGGCTTTAATGAGAAAAGCAAGACCAGAAGTCACACATGCTCCCTATTTCTCATCACCTTGATGCCCTGTACTACCCTGGATCTAGGCCATCACCAAAATGCAGCCCCTTACCTTGGAGTTCCATGACTGTGAACCCAACTAAGCCTTTTTAATAACTCCCCCAATGAGGGAGAGAATGAATGAATGTTTTGGTACCAGAATTGAACTTAGCCCTGCACTTGCCAGGGAGGCGCTAAACTGCTAAACTATAGCCCTGGCCCAATGTATGGTTTTAAATTGTTGACGAGAGAATGGACTCATAACCCAACTTTCAACTTACGAGTTTATTGCAGTGCATTTGATAGTTGAAGCGAAGAAGTGAGAGGCTTAAAGCTTGGCGTGTTAGTGCATGCCTGTAATCCCAGCACTCGGGAGGCTGAGGCAGGAGGAACATAGTTCAAGACCAGCCTGGGCTACAAAGTGAGCCAAGGCCGGAACTGCATAGCAAGACTCTGTCCCAAAAAAGACAAAAAAAAAAAAAAAAAAAAAAAA